TTCCTTCTGTTCAAGATTAAAGGCGAGAAGGAGACAGAATGGCTGCACCCAGCTTGATTTAACAGGCACCATGAGCACCTGTGGAAAACCTCATCCTTGACACCTGCCCTTCATACACAGCAGCAGGGTCTTGTCTTAACAGTATCAGAACCATCCCCCCACCTTCTGCAAACTGCCAACAACATTCTTGCCGTTTCTCTTTCACTATGGAAAGAGAATCAAAGAGCAATTTGCCCAGTCAAAACAGTAGAAGCATTCCTCCGTTTCAGCACAGAGGTATAGGAAATGAGAAGAATGTGCTGGACAAATGGGAACTTTCATCTCATTAACTTTTTAATTACTTTTATAACTTTCTCAAAGTTTAAACAAACAAACAAACAAAAAAGAATCAATTATTTGATTAAATATCTTGGAAAAGAAAAGACCAACTCACCTCATTTTCGTTACTTTCTTCGAATCAGCTTTAAAAAGCATCTTTCCCTAGCAAGTAAACTGCAAGCTGCCTAAAGCATTTCCAATTCTTTTGAGACTTGTTGTTAAACACTGTTTACAGCTGTTACCTTTACAGATTTAACTCTTTACTTTGACCACAGAAATTGCTTCTCAGTGCTTGGTAGCATGATAATATTTTGTTTTACCCCTTGCGTTTGTTTATATTTCTCTAGCAGCACAGAATGCGCTCCTAGATAAAACTAACTCAAAAGGTTTAAAATTAACTTGGGGATTTCCCCCTCAGCTGAAAACAATCTTGTTTTCAGCTTTGAAAAATAAAATCTCAGACTGCCTTTGGTGGCACTGCACTGTGAAGCAGGTTTGATGCTATAATCCTCATTCAGGATTCCACCAAAAACAAGACTTCCCAAGCTAGCTTTGCAAAATGCTTTTCTGTTTCCCTTTCAACTCTGACATGCAACATTTGGATTATAAAAAACAATACCACTTTATTTCAGAGCCAGCTTCTGTTCAAGAAGCAAATAGCATTATTTCACCTCCTCCCAGCCCACCAACTGCAGATGACTAAAGTCTTCTTTTTCACCATTTAGTGCATTGAGGTTGGAAAGCAACGAAATAAAAGAGGATGGGAGGTGTGGCTCCAAAGGAGACACCTCATTTAAAAGGTTCTGGTCTCATGAGAGTCTCCCCCAAGTGACAGAGGAAAGCAAGTGACTGAAGGTTTTGCTGTCAGCTCTGGAAGGACACCCACCTACTTCAGTGTGCCTAGTACTGTGCAAAAGCAAACCAAAAAAACAACCCTACGCAGGTAGTCTAGCCTCTTAGCTGAAATCAGGGTGGTTTTTATTTGCTGTTTTATTTAATTAAAAAAAAAAATGCTATGTATTTTTATGTTTCAAAATGCCTATAGGAATGAAGAACAATCTACTTTGCCTACTAATTCTACTGAAAAGGAAAAACATCAGCAGCTCCCAACGCAACAAAACTTCTCATTATCTTTCTAATGAACACCAGGCCTCCTGGTCTGAGAACACCAGCCCCCCTCAGCTTGAAACACATTTTACATAGCATACTTCCCTTTACCCATTATCAGTTTTGGAAGATAAATCAGCAAGAATGGCTTTCTGAAAGACTGAATTTCTGTGATCCCGGATTTGACAGTAGCCATCTTCTGGGTATTTCCCCGTGATACAGGTTCATGCTCAACAGTGTCACAGAAAGACAGCCACCCTAACCTTGTTTATTTCTATTGTTTCCCACTAGAAAGAACAAGCACCACTTGGCTCGTCAGAATTCACGAGCGCTTCCATGAGAGCACAAGTACTAGTTAAATTCTGGCAGCAACTCCTACAATAAAAGCAGATTTTATCAATTTAATACCACATTCCAGTATCAATTTAATGCCACACCCATGTTTGATGACACTACTGAGTTCTTTACATCTTCCCCTATTTGCTGCACACCTCTGCCTGGGCTGCCAAAACAGGGGGGATGTATTGCCCCCCCTGCTCTTCTACAGCATTAAGAGGATCCCGCTGAATTAATCCCAGATTAAAAAAAGAAAACCACCAAGCCTTGCAAATGAATTTACCTACTGCTCTTCATCCCTTCAAAGAACTTCAGAGCTATATATTGTTGATCCTCCATTTATTTTGAGAAATATAAAATCTGAAAACTAGTTTACAGTTCTGGCACAAAATAGATGAAGCAATAAGCACAATGTTTCTTTTTCTTTTTTTTTTTTCTAAACAAATGGTACTATGTATTTTTACCATTTAAAAGTGCCTCAAGTTTTTCACAGCAAATAAAGTTTACCTGTATCTTTTGTGTTAGTAAAATATTAAATCTATTTAAATTGCACATGAACACCTTGGTAAAGTTATAATAAATCTGTGTTTAAAGCAGACAATCATTAGAAACTACACAGAATAGAGAAGACTATCAAAGTCCAAAGTGAATCTTAAAGACTGACCAGGAAAACAAGAGACAAGACACTGCCTGATATGGCACAAGTGATTAAATTACTGACAGCTTTACAAAACAGTAGTTACATCTATTTGAAGTTCCTCGCGGATTTAATACACTGCTAAAATGCTTCGATGCAGAGGTTCTGTAACGTTTAAAGTAGCAAAATATATATAGGTATTTTTTACTCAAACAGTATTCCACAAGATTACAAGGCATCTCCTTCACTTAATATTGGACCTTAATTGAGTATGATCATAGATCTAGAATGGATAAGAAAAAGTTGACATTAAAGGCTGCTGCATTTGACAATATACTCCATTTTGACAATAAAACAGCTGAAAAGTTTATCAGTTAAAATGAACTGTACTAACGTGCACCAACAGAAGCTGGAACATTCAGAAAGATTATTCTTTACTTGTTTGTTTTCAAAGTTTGCCTGCTTCACATTTCTAGAACTGCTGAGGGGATGCAACCTACAATTTTACAGCCAATACAAGTTCTTGCAACATGCAAAAATCAGGTGTGAACTGAAGCACCTTTACATCAGGGCCATAACTTTCACCCAGTATTCCTCTTCACAAACACTCATGCTGAACTACAATCAGTCATTATTTGGAGCATTCTTCAGTCAAGATTTTCAGAGAAGTGACTGGTGATTTAAGATGCTCAACCCGAAATATTCTTCAGAGGCCCAGTTATCAGAGTATGCGCGCTCTGATCTTCTGGATTATTTCTTAAATGCAAGCCTTTTAATATCTCAAGTTGAAGATCCTATAAAATTCAAGTATCTGAAGTCTTACTGGTTTCAAGACTTGACTTTCAAAGCTTGTGTTGCTTGTGTAGCTCTAAAGTCATCTGCAGAAGCATATCTTCCAAACTACTGCATAACCAATTCACCCACTTTGGTATCATTTTGCAGATGATCAAAGGAATGTTTGATTTTTGCACCAAGATAACAACTAACATAGATAGCTGGGTCCAAATGGCATTGTTATGTTGCTTTAAGAAACATAGCAATATTGACAATGTATGAGAAATGCTCCACTATGTGTCATTCACATTAAGCAACACAGAAAACACATATGCAGACTAGATTTCTCTGCACTAAAGTCCAGCTGATTAAAAAATGCAGGAATATAATCTACTCTCAAAATTAACTGTATAATATAGGCATGCACAACTTCACATATCTAAACAAAATCAAGAGGCAGGACCTAAAACACGGGCTTTGGGAAGTATTCTGCAACGCCTTGACGTCTGCAATCCAATGAAATTCTAACCACTTTGAATGAGAGTATCAGTGTGACTCCTCCAAATACATTTGTAAAACAGACATTAAAGCAAGTTTAGCCTAAATGAACAAAAATTTTTTTGAAGTGATCAACTGAAATCAGAGGGAGAACAAACAAGTTACATTTCTAAGACTTTTCCCTGTTAACCACCTATTATTTCTCATCTCAGCCTAGCTGAATACCTCTTCTGAAATAGGTATACAAAACATCTTAAAAACAATCAAGTTTGCTTGCTTTGCTCTTAAATACTACTTTCAAGGAAGTGAAAACGCCAAGTTTTAACAGTAGTTTTAGATTCAGAGTACTGACTGAAAATGGCAGATTTGACATTTACAACACAGTGGCGCTAATAAATATAAAATACACAGCTTTTGGGAAAAAAAGCTCACAAGGCACTTGCTATAGTGGTCCATTAAATAAACAGTGTATATAGTGCACCCTTAAAACATCACTGTTATGCATCAAGCTTTTCCAGTGTTAAACTTGCAATTTATTAGGAAAAAAAAACATTGTGTTCTGTGTATTCTGAAGCAGTTATGGAGCAGCCTTGATTCATATATAATGTAGATCAAGCAAATGAGGAGAGGGACAGGGGAGAGAATTTTAAATAATTATTTCTTGTCACGTTAAAGAGTTTTTCTGTGTAACAAACAAATCAAGAACAGAATACCATTCTGACTCTCCTCCCTGCCCCCTATCCCAAAAGCTACATTCCTGCTACCCTAAGAGCCCAGTGTCTGAGTCTCTCATCACCTACTGGTGTGGCTCATCATTTGTGGCTTTGAAAAATAATGTGCATGACAGTAGCATGAAGCTACTTTCCTTTCCAGAGCAAAAACTGGCAGATAAGAAGAGTGTATAACTTTGACAAATACTTTTTCAATGATTTAAAATGTTGAAAGACATAATCACACTTGAAAATGGTTTGATTTTTTTTTTCATTCACAGCATACTTCAAGGGCCAGTTACACCTCCTAGCATTTCTCTGTAGGAATGGGTTCTTCATCTCCCTTTAGAAAGTATGCATATATTAAGTCATACTTTTTAATTACTCCCAGACTGAGAAAGCTTAGATTAACCAAAAAAAAAAATAATCTGTCATCTTGAGGTTTCCACAACTGTGTGCAGGACAGAATAAGGAAAGCTGTCTTTGACTGAAAGATCTGTAGATTGGCCATCAAAGGAAAGGTTAACATTCCAAATTAAAAACAGTCCCAAAACATTACCAAGAGTAGTGACTTGTTCAGGGGACTTTAATCTACTTCAGCCCGATCTGTCATGGTATAGTTTTTTTTTTTTCCCACATAAGCACCAAAGTGAGAAAACTTAAGCATTTGTCCAGAATTACCACACATGGTCCATTCTTAAGTTCTATCCTACAGATGACTTACATGTTCCCAAATTCTCTCCAGCTCAAATCACCAAAGGAAAAAAATAAATCTAATCCTCAATCACTCTTTTGCATAGCTTGGCATTTTCTGGAGTTAAACTTCCGTTTTCTTTCATTGCTTTTGAGAGGACTCATCTACCACATAACCAAGTACCTTCAGTCTATATCCTTCAACAGAGAAGCTGAGTCCCACTTGAGCAGCAAGCTGTCCAGGACTGTTTGACATTCTTCTTTCAATTCAGTTAAAGATTATTCAGTCTTATCTGTACTTTCAGATTTCTCTCTCTGCATCATGCAGCGTCGAACTATGCTGTCAAAGCTTCCTAGGTAAAAGAGGCCAATGATGCGAAAAATGCCCATGCAAACAACCTGGAAACAGAGAAACATCTTTCAATTCACTTATGATCCTGGATTGTAGCGTATTATTTACTCATAAATAAAAGAAAAAAAGTTCCAGACAGGTAATATAATCAAGAAAAGAACATATGAAAACATTCTTAACTATGTTCCAGTTCAGGACTGAGCAGTGTGTAGTTATCTCTGCTTTCTTGCCACATTGCTGCATCAGCTCAAGAACATTGCTTCAGTTCCTAAATCCAAGCCTCCACGGTATTGACAGCTACTTGATAAAAAATAATCAATGTTTGCATAACGTTCTACATATTTTGAACTATAAGGAATTGTGACTATGAGGCCTTTGCAAACCTTACCTGTTGAAGACCTTCAGTGATAGAAGTGACTGGTGACATTCCACTTGTCAATATTGATAACATGTAACCATCTGATCCAACACAGCTGTTAAAGTTCCCTTGCTGAATGGAAGGAAAACAGTAATTAAGGAAAATGTAATTTACCCAGTTGTGGCAAAATATGACATGCCTTAATTTTACAGCTATTTATGATAATCGTAGTCAATTTCATGTCACTATGAATAAATTCCTCAATGTAAAAAATATGACCACAATTAAAAGCCTATATTTTAAGAAATATTTTGTACTATACAGCAACATTCTGAAAGACACTCCCAAAAATAGTGGTGTGATAGATTTCGAAGAATTTCTTTGTAAGCTAGAAAGGCTCTATGTTTCTTCTTGAAGTATGCTTACTGATAGAGAAAATGCACAGTGTTCTCCCTGTAAACATGTTTCAGAGAGAATTACACCCTGTTTCTGTCAGATCACCAATCACTGCTGTATTCAAAGAATAAAATGCTGCTAAACCTTTTTTTCAAGTCAGGTTACTACTGTGTGAGACTTATTGGAGGTGTCCTTCAAACACTAAGCAACAGGTCTTCCTTCACTTATATCAGTGACTTTGATTCGCCCTCCTCACAATTGCAAAATGCACTGCCCACTAAGTGATTCAACTAACCCAAGAGGGGGAGGCTCCCCTGGAGAAAAAGGTGTGGATTTTTTTTATTTTTTTTTTTTTTGGACTACTCATCAGAAAAGACTGCAACTCTGTAACTCTGACTGCCAGGCTTCTTCCACTTTATTTTTTCTCCTAGCAGGTTATGCTGGAAAACAGACTTTCTGAAATACTGCAGGACGACTATGGAGCGCAGAAATGAAAGGGAGTAGTGGTGCTCCTGAATCACAATTATCTATATAGAGCAGTAGAGGAGATGATATTTGAGTGGAGTATTACCCAACACACATCTGAGAGAACTGAGTTCCTACAGTCTAAGAACTACCTTTTAGTTTCAATTTTAGTCTCTCAGCTGAGGGCTTGACTGCATAAAGACCACATCTCAACTAATAGCCGACCACTGGAAGGTATGGTATAAAAAGATCAGATGCTTATGATTAGAAGCCAGATTGGTTGTCCTTAACTACCAGTGTAGAATACCATGTGAGGACATACTAGATTTTGAAACTCACCACCCCAAATCCAGGCATGATTTTGCACTTATCTGCTGCATTTGTGAAACTATTGTAAAAGCTTCTCAAAACCACATTAACAGTATTTAGAATTGTAAAATAATGACAAGATTCAATTGCTGTACTTTAAGGATATTGAATTTCATTTTTATTTCCACCTCAGAATGTCCTTGGTGTTTGCTGCTTCTTATTTTATTAAGAAGCAATCTTCAGCACAAATCTTTACAACAGTTCCTCAAAAATGCAATACTTCTTTATAACTAAGAGCATCTTATTGTATTTTAATCACTCATAAATCAGATACTTTAGACAGTTATAGCCAAAAAGGCTAGACATCCTCCATTTATTTTAAGATCATTTTGATCTAAGCTCATATTCAAGAAAAATTAGACAGTCAAAGAAGCTTTTGAGGTTAGACAAATGGCATTTGATACATAAAAAGCCAATATAATTCAGTGCTTTGAAATAAAGCCATAACCTGCTTTTGAGACATTGTATCATACTGAGGCATCCTTTTATTCTAAGGGACAAGTTTGGATACATTTTAGTTCAAAAAGATTGCATAAAATCATTTGTGGGCACAGTGGCAATAGAGGAATAGAGAAAAACTTCCTGCTCAAACTAACCAGAGACCACCACTTCTTGTCAATTGATTTTATTTTTAGCTCAATCATTCTCTTAAACAAGCATTACAAGCCATCTTGGTCTCTCCCATGAAGGTCATACTTTAAGAAATGATTTACTTACTATGGCATCTTTGACTATAACTCTGGCAACTTGTTCTGCTTGGCAAACGGATGAGGTTTCAGAAATGAGCTTTGTCTCTAAGGGCTTTAATAGAAAAACGTCATTAGAAGTTTGACTAAGAACACACAGGAGAGAAAACATGAAGGACAAATTTTGGCTTTGGTTCTTTCAGTGCAGATGGTGTTGCTGCTAAGTGGTACCTTTAAGTTCTGTCACTTAAAACATCCAATGAAAAGAAAAAGCACCTTCACAAGTAGCACAGTTTCAAAGAGAACTGCCAGCTTTTAGGCAGTATTTTTTCCCCTTGGAATTTATTACCAACGAAATAGAAGATGGTGTTCTTTCCAAGTATTTGATTTTCAGAAGCCAGAAAAATGCTTAAGCTGTGTCTCCTCAATGCTTCTATTTTTTATTTTAATGAAGTAAAAAAAAAAATAGGCCTAAAATGCCTTATGAATTTGTTTTGTAGGATTTTACTTAATTTTTTTTGTTTGTTTCTCAAACCCCACACAGGGTTCCCACCAAAACCCAACACTGTATTTCACTTCATTGTGTTTTAGAGCATTTATGTCATTTTACCTTTCTAGAAGAAAGCAGCCACGGCCATTTTATCAGTCACAATTTCTTTTACAAAAATAAATCTGATCTGTTGTAAGAGCAAGCAGTAAAAAGGTAGTAGAAGTAGAGAAGTATTCAGAAGCTTGTTTGTCATTTATTTGCTTCTATAATGCTGGAGCTAAATGCATGGCAAGCTGTTTAAATGATAAATATATGAAGATAGATGGTTCTGTTGATAAAGAACAAACTGCACTAAATTAGGAAAAGAAGAGTGGTTACAAGTAGATTTGTTATAGAGAAGAATTGAATTAGATTTAATGAAGTTGAATGGAAGCATTCAAACCTACTCAAATACTTACTATGCATTCTAAGATTAATCCTTTGAAACACACACACACACACACACACACACACTTCTAGGGAAGAACTTAATTACAGGCTTCTTTCTCAATGTCAGTGTGAAATATCTGTGAAATTGTGAATCCTGATATGCTGACCAAGCTCACTGGCTTATTTTTTAAATGTGTGTATTAAGAAAAAAAAATAGAAGTCAGTGTCTTTGTCAGAGGAAATCACACACAAACACTTTTCACATGCTTTCCTATGGTTGTATGACCTGTGTCACTAGATCCCCATTTCATAACCCATGCATAATTTAATTCACTGGCCAGTGTCAACAAAATCCATGAGAGATGCAGATGTCAAAAATAAACTTTAAGTTTTGGAAAAAATCAGCAGCTATTCAGGGGCGTCTCACTAAAGTTAATGACATGCTGAGAAAAAGGCAGGCAGAGCTCAACCATCAAATACTTCATCTGATTAGCCAGTCAAAGCACTGTTACAATTTGTCAAGCAGTTATCTCAGAAAAAGAGCTTAATGATTAAACACAAGGAAGATGCATCCTTGTAGCTGACTTTTTTTCTTTTTTGCTTAAACTACGAGCAGAATAAAACAGCTTAGCCTTAATGAGATGCAAACCACAGAAACAGATGTTCTAAACTCAGCAGAACTAAATAAATGCAATCATAATGAATGACATTCTGAACTGTTAAATGACTGAATATTGCAGTGTTTTAAGGTACATTATCAAGGTAGTCACACAACAAAAAGACTTCATGTGTGCTAAAACAATGCATAAATGTGTTTAAAAGACAATGTCTTTTTGATTAAAAAAAGCCACACACACACACACACACCACTGATTCCCCTTAAACAGAAATCTGAGATTAACAGAACATTTTGCTGGAGAATATATTTCCCTGCAGTAGGCTATTATGAAGAAAAGACAAAGAATGTGCAAGCTACACAAGTATCTGCAGATGTGTAATTCTTTATGTGGATGTGTGGGAGTATGCTTAATACATAAGATCTATTACCAAGAAGTTAGAAAGAATTGTGTTACACAGTCCCTACTGATTCCCATAGAAAGGGTGAAAGACAAAATTTAACCTCAATTTCCTATTACACATTACATTAGATGGAGCATCTTAAACATGGCTAATCTACAGATACCAGTATATGTTCTCTGGTTAGCAGATACCTCAGTGTAAACTGGGGGCCTAAAAGTAGTACTGCCAGCACCCTTTTTTGATATTACATTTTGTGTAGGAATTTGCCAAGCGATGAGAAGCAACTAAATTTCTGAAGGTCAAAACCTGCTTTAAGCTAAATGAAAAAGGCAACCACTGATAGACCTCTCTGAAAAAGCAATAGTGCCAAACAGAATGAGAGCGCTTCCTTTCTACATTGATAGTGGTTGTTCTTGCATATAAAATTGTGCAAACCAGCTATTCTGTGTGAATACGTGTTATGGCACATCTCAGTGAAGAAGTGGAGTTTTCCTTTCACCTGTCAGGACCATCCTAACAGCATAATATAAAAAGGTGCAAAATAGGTACACTATTCTGGCTCATCAAGCCTTTATATCAAAACAAGTTACAGTGGTTTTAGTTTGCTATTTTGCAACATTCAGACTGCATGCAGAAAAGCTTATTAGTGTTTCAACTATTAAAAGTTAAGCTGTTCTTCCATTTAAAGCCAGAGTAAACTACACTGGATAGCAAAGTTGATAAAAACCAAACTGTTTAAGCATTTTAAGCATTTTAATATGCACTGTTTCCAGAAGTACTACAGAAGTGAATGATATCTGAAATGCATTGTTTATAATAAAGTAAACCTTTAAAAACATTACAGTGCTGCTGAAGAATGATTTACCTTTGTTTTACTTTCTTCTGCAAAGCCCGGCGTGTCAGTATCTGGAGGATAGGCCACGGTTATGTAGATATTATAAGGTTTGACCTGCAGTTCACAAAAAAAGAAGTGTTATCTTATTACTGATGGCCTTTACATTTCTCTCATAATTTTGTTAATTTCTCTCAAATTCATTTTGAGAATTGCTTGCTTTATTTCTTCAGATTGCTTGTAGTTTTAAATCATACACACACTCAACACTTGCAAGACTCAGAGCTTTGTCAAATAAGGAAGAAAACACAGATTCTAAAGAGATGGTTGTGTTGCTTTGTTTGGTAAAAACCTTTAAAAATTCAACAAAAATATATCACCAGTCTGAAGACAGACTCACAGTCCCATTGCTCTGCAGGCCAGAACTCTCTTATCGTGACCGACACAATCCACTACACTGAACGGAACAGGATAACAACAGTGATCATGCAAGGGTCTAGAACCAAACAGATACTAAGGAAAATCACTTCCCAATCAATTTTACCTGTCATACTGCAGTGACATACTTCCAAGTCTCATCAAATAATGAAAACAATGTTTTTTTTTTTTTGTCTCAACTTAAATGTAGGCTTAGAACAGTGCAATATATAAAGCTCACATATACCAATGTCTAGAAGAGTGAACCACTTTGAACAGAAGATTTGGCTATTACATTCAAGCTTGCAAGTTTTACTGTCTCGTATGGTTCACATACCATTCATTTACCACTGTCTCGCAATTAGCTTAGAAATCATGGGTCTACACATCAATCCCTCACATAACCATGGAATCTTCAATACCATTCTGCTTAAAATTCAAGTCCCTTTCATTAAAATAGAAGACATTTAGATATAAGATAAATAGAACATGTAAGTTTGTATGTGGTCATCTTCAGTTCTAGAAACAGTTCTTCTCTCTTGGGCAACTGAAAGCTTAGTTTTCCGCAGCCCTGCGCAGAGCAATATGGTTGTACTGCTCCCAAAGAAGTGCCAACATAACAGGCATCAGCAGAGCTGCACAAGACTACTGAAATAAAAGTGTGCTTAGCAGCTAGTGAAAATATGTTTTTGTTTACAAGCAAGAATACTTGAGTCATTTCACACACCTCCATTTGCAGGGCTTCAGCCAATCCTCGAAGAGCAAACTTGGTTGGAGAATAGGCTGTATAACCAAAAAGGCCTAATTGCCCAGCCTGAGATGACACAAACACAATCCTCCCCATCCGCCGCTCTTTCATGGTAGAGATTACTGCACGACTCGGGTAAACACTACCTAGATAATTGACTGCCATTAATCTCTGTAAAAAATGATATTAAAATGGTATTTGAGTCATGGGTTCAGAATTCTTCAGATGCTTAGTATTATTTCTCCAAAATCCCTACTGAGGCTTGCTTTAACATCAAACTCCATTAGATTTCTATTTCTATCAGCTAGCAAAGTAAACAATTGTATTCTACTGTATTAGTTTCATAAACCATTCCATAGCTAAGAATCTCACTGTAAGACAAAAAGAAATGCACTGTATATACAAGTGGCATTCAGGATACTAATAATGTGAGCTATTATGGCCTTCATGAAGAAAGAAGGGCAAATTACAAAAAAAAATCTGACTTGAACAGTGTCTAGAAAGCAAAGCATTTATACACAATGTACAAAAACATTCTGAAATGAGAGTTTAAAGGGCTTCCTAAAAAAAGAAACAGGAAGAACTCTATGTATATATGCACAAGCTCTCATCGTTAGCAAGTAAGATGAATTTTTATGTTTTGCTCTCCTGAAGACATAAAACACAACTGGTGGCCTATACAAGCAATAAAACAGAGTATTTACACTTATTGGTACACTTACTGTAACATTATGCTCACTTAGTATCAAGCCTAATTAGCATTTTCACATGGCTCAGTGATGAGGTGGGAACCAAACTAACCAAAAAGTAGAGAGGTTTTGTGTTTTTGTTTGTTTGTTTGTTTTAATATACATTTTGGTTTGGGTTTTATTGTTTTTTTCTTTCCATCAAGCTGCACCAAGTTACTAACAATTTTTGCACCTCAGAGTTGAATGCTGACAAGATGGATTCCTCTTAAACAGATTCAAAATATGGGAAAAAGACCCACACATCTTCACCAGGAAAAAAGAGACCATATGAAATTCAGTGTCTTTCACAGTGTGTTAAATAAAAGCATACATCAATCTTTCTTGCCACCTTGAGGTCCTTCCCTATCCCAGATGGAGAATTCACCGTTCTGAACCATCATGGACAAATAATCAGGTAAAAAAATAAGTTGCAATCTTTGCAAATCTAGAAATGCACACAAAAACCATCACTAACGAAATATATCACTACTCATACAGTCTGGAAAGACACAGTAAAATCTATTCCTTAGAACAGGGGAATGGCAAATTACTTGCAATGAAATAAAGCGTGATCACTCACTTCAAAAGAATTCACTTCAATATCTTCAAATTTTCCTGTAACTGATGTTCCCGCACAGTTTACAAGCAGGTCAACTGGCCCCAGCTTCTCCTGAGCCTGCAAGAGGACAGAAGTTAAGCTCTCTAGCAGGAAAAAGCATTCATATAGTATAGTGTCATTATAAAATATGTTGCCACTTGGAACACATCACACAGAGATGACACTAATATATACATAAACACACACACAGGTTAAACAGTTGTCTCTCACCTGTTTTAGAACATTCTCCACCTGTTCATAGTCTTTAGATACATCAACAGAAATACATAGCACAACCTAAAAAAGGAAAATGAAAGAATGTTTTATAATCTAAGTCCAAGAATGGTTGGCCCCAAGCTTACAAAAGAAACTGCACACTGCTTAATTAGGTCATATCAGGGACAAAATTAGAAAAAACAAGACTAAGAAAAACTGATTAGTGGCACAGTGTTACACATGCCTAAAAAGTGATTTAACGTTTACTCCTTGTCTGGGAACAAGAGATTATGGATTTTCATTTGAATGATACAAGAAAACGAAAACAGACAGTGGCTCAGGGGAGGATAAGTAAATAAATAACAAAAAAAAAAAAAGAGACAGCAATGTCTTATGTTTTGTTGCAGCTGGAAGTTTTCTTTAAAACTGCTGATTACATTTAGCAACACGATCTCAGAATCTAAGTTTTTAAGCACCTTCCAGTCAACTACCAGCAAAGGAAGCACTGACTCTGGGGTATCACCAACTGTAAGATCACGGCCAACTCCAGCTTGGCCAGAGATTTACAAAAAGACTATCCTCTCTGTTAAACAATTAGCAAAGTTCAGGGGCAATTCAGTGTCTTGAAATGAGAAGCAATCACATACCACAATAAAAGTAGACTCCCATATTCTTATTCTGATTTCTATGCCTTACTTTACTTTGTTCAATTCATTTAAAGCTGATTTCAGGTAAAATAAAGTCATCACCAGTTTCTAACGAGTGTCATTAGGGTCACTTGTCATGAAGCACGCCAACAAAAATGAAGAAAAGCTTACCAAAGTGTAACTAACTGCTTTGGCAGCTAGTCATTTGTCAGTTTTGCCTCTGGTCAGACTGCAACACTTCCCAGCTACATAAACAGAATCTGCTTGCCATTCCTGTGCAGCAGGTTGGCTATTCCTGCCTTCCAGCACTGTGCATAGCTGGACGTCGGAGTAAACTTGTGGTGCAAGTTATTGGTTGGCCAGCAAGCATCTCCCCTCAGGGCATTTTTAGATTTTAGAAATATTTATCTTTGCCATAAGTTTGAAAACAAACATAACAGCTGAGCATTGATTTACTATCTGGATGTCTTCAAAAGACCAGCAAGGTTAAAAAAAAAAAAAATCACATTTCCATATGAAAATTGGACATCGGGCCACAGATCAGTTAATCATACTGTGAACAATATACTCAGGAACTACCAAAGCTTGTATTGGCTACCAGCACATTATACAATTCATCTTTTTGCTTCTATTATTGTATTTCCTTTCTGCTACATTAAGTTGATTACCTCCAGTCCAGAGCATGCACTGTGAATGTGGTCCTAATAAACAGATTATGCTGCCAGGAAGTCTAATATCCTCATTCCAGTTCCTCGTCTTTTGTTCTAATAGAGCATTGTCTGATCATTCCTGAAGCATTTATTTCTCAATAAAAGCTTAATTCCACTCCCAGAGAAGTAACTAGGAATATTCCACACTAGGAAAGGGATTTTTAAAAATTAAAAAAAAAAAATTATGGGCAAGTATTTCATTCCAATGCACACCTTTATTTGTAAAGGCTGCGCTGTCAGCATTCTAAATAAATCACATATAAATGTCTTTTAGAGAAAACATACCAAATCAAACACCTAAAGGTATGTAGAAACCACAATCCTGGTTCTCAATGCAACTTAGTTTTACATATACACACGTGAGCAGAATGCATACAGCATATAATCAGGTAAAAACTGGTATTTCCTCTGGATTTTTGCTCCCTAGTTTGACATCTTGCAAATGTAACAGCCTCTGTGGTCTGCCAATCCATCTCAGACAACTCCAGGCTTTCAGCAATCTTCTTGTACAGCCTCTGTCTGTTCAGCTGCCCTCATTTGTCAGCTTCTTATCTGCTGTTCCAGACACCCTGCTTTTTCTATTTGTGTTCTTTGAATTTAGAACAGGCAGTCTTCCCTGTGACAATGACTACAACTCAACAGTAGGCACATGAAGGCACTCCCACTACAGTCAGATGAAGTATGGACAAGTCTAAATTTGCTAGTGCTAAAACAATCCTGTTTAGCCCACATCGAAGCTTGTTCAGTCTTGAACTTAGTGAAATTTTAACTGAAACTCTTGAGGGTGAACCTAGTGCTCTTCTTAAGAAAATAAAAATGTAAGCCCACATCTGTCAAGTCTGGACAGATTCTAAACAAGAGCATTTTGACAGTGTTTGACAAAATTCACCATCAACCCTGGGAAAAGACTAGAGCACAGAATCATAGAATGGCCTGGGTTGAAGAGGACCACAGTGATCATCTAGTTTCAAACCCCCGCTATGTGCAGGGTTGCCAACCAAGCAGCCAAAGGAAAACTGTTACCGGGATTTATTTGTTTTAAAATGGAACAAAACGTTGATCCTCTTCACCTCATATAACTTATTATTTCAAAATAAATTTGACCTGAGTAAGGCAACATGCACAGAAAGATCACCTTGAGCCATTTGACAGGAACGAGCAAAGACAGAATCTTACTGAGTTTGCTTGATACCTTCATTTATATCAGCTAGTACTAGCATTATTGCTTCCCAACGTTCATCTTCCTCCATTGCTTCTTTTCAAGAGAATATCAGACTTCCTAATTTACCAGACTAAAGAAGTGATTTACTACACCCAATAGACACCAAATTCCTTATCACAAACAAATTGCTTGCACTTGTAATAGTAAAAATAAGAACCAACTTCAGGAACACAAGAAAGAGGAAATTAAAGATGCAATGGTCTCAACACTGTTTCTCTTTTCCTTTGGATTATGAGCATTAAGAAAAAAATGGTAGTATTTCATCTCGAAGTTGTGTTTTTTGAACATAGAGAGCTGCCCTATTTTAACAGCTAGTAGCCCAGCAAGCATTAAGGCACTAAAACAGTGCATTAAGCACGAGTACACTATTTATTTACCAAAGTACCTTCAGTGTTTAGAAACCTCAGTGCTTTGCCAGGAAAACAGCAATACACAGCACAACACAGGGAACAAATCTGAAAATAAGTACCTAAATTTATTCCCCATTACAATTGCTGCATTTATGATCTCTCAAAGAGAGACTTGAAAGAAGTAGGTTATTCTCCTCAATCTTGAACAATACAAACATTTATCAAGTGACAGCAAATTGCAGCTATCAGAAAAATTCTATTACACCTACAGCTGAAGATATCAATCTTTTTCTCTGAGGAAAAAAAAAGTTAGTGTACTAACCAGGCAACATCAAATGTAGCAGAGTTTGGAACATCACACGTAGACAGATTGGATTGGAATTTTTTGAATTCAAGTGCGGCCTCACCTATTTCCATCAAACAGCTTGGTTTTAAAAACCAACTACTGAAGCTATGTTGAAGTGACCGCCTTGAAACACAACAGTTACAAGTAGCAGTGATCTTACCTGCTTGTCATTAACAGAGTACTTTTCTATTTCCTTCTTTGTCTGTAACAGCTTGTTCTGAAACGGATAATAAGAACAGCTAAAGCACCTCAGTTATGACAACATATTAGTCTTCAGTATTTCAAGAAGCCCCAGAAACATTCTCTAAAAACAAGAACATTATCATCAGCTAATGATAACACTTTCCTGTGTTCATCTTAGAGGTTTATGAATATACAATCAGAACCTAAACTCCATGCGATAGCCACGGAAGAGTTTTAATGCAAGCTTATCACAAATCCTATGTTATGATACACTTCTTAAAAAGGCAGCCATCTCTACTCTGAAAATACATTACATTTAAATTATTAGGACCACCTTAAAGCATACAGGGAAAAAAAGAATGAGTAATTATCAATTCCCAAATTACTCCTCAACCATACCAATTTCATTAACATAGTGTAGCCAGCAAAAATACAAATATGCTTACCTCATCTCTTGCGATCAGTGTTATGAAAGCACCTTGCTTATAACATTCAATAGCAATACATTTTCCAATTCCACTGGAGCCTCCAGTTACCTAGAAGTTATTTGAAAGTCAGTTAGACCATTACACTCATCCCTACCCCTATACCATAAAAAAAGTCAAATCAAAATTCTAAAAGCGTACTGAGATTCAAATATTATCCAGTGAAGTATGAATACTCAAGATATACAAAAGTTAGTTTACTTACTGAGTATGAATGGAAAAACAAAATCTCACTACCCTGTCAGGCAACTCATTCTGTCCCAAAAATCAGCTTTACCTTGGTTGTATTTTTTCATGTTTCTCATGCCAGGCTCACTTAGACCCACTCTCACTTGATTAACTTATTTTTAAGGTACAATAATAGTTATAAGTTTGAAATCACTATTAAGAATGCAATTACCTACTGCCCCTCCAAGAATTCATAAAGCGAGCAATCATAGCTAGTCAGCCAGAAACATCATGTAAACAAACAATTTTAAAAGTTATTTTCTTTTTTATAAAATAAACATCCTTAATTTGACAGCTGACCCGCTGTAGAGCGCATCTCACAGTTCACATCTGGATACTGAACTGCCTGTGCCATCCCTCAGTGCCCTCCTGTGGGGATCCCAGATTTAAGCCTTCATAAGCCTTTCCTTCTTCCTCTAAACCATAATTCTCAGTGGTCTTCCACGCAAACAGGAAATAAACAGTTTGACTGCAGACCAATGCAAGGTGATGGCTACAGCCCCACACTAATAAACAGGTTCAAGTCACCTTAACACCCCCTCACCGCCCTCCAGAAAAATCTATTTGCAAACTTCATTTAAAACAAAACATAGATGGTGACCCAACTGCTCTTCTTGACAAAAATAAAAGCATCTTCCTGATACCGACTTTCAGGTGATTTGTTCATTTAAACCCATTGTTTGCACATGCCTTTGGTCCTTAAATACACAGAGTTGTATTTTCCTTGTATGGCCACATTTGTTGAATCTTCTCCTAAGAGCACATCACTGAGAAAATACCAGAATGCTTTGTTGATGAAGTGAGTTCTGAAATACAGGCTTAAGTATTTGAAAAAGAGATTCATATTCTTCTGGAAGTTGTTATTTCTGTTCTTTATCAAGACTTCAGAGAAAGTAAGGAATCACCACTATTTCAACTATGAGAAATGGAACGTGCTGAGCCAATCAGTGGAAGAGCAAAGGCTGTTTCATCTGGCATCTCCATCAAAGGCAGTCTCATCTGCACGTGCCTCAGTTTTGTTTTCAGACTTACTACCTTCAAAATTATTTCATATTCCTGGAGGCAGTAAAGTCAAAAGAGTTAGAAGTACGCTCCCCTGAGTCACCAAGCTCTTCTTCCTTTGAGTGTCTCATCACCAACCATCAAAAAAAAAAAACAGCTCAGTACGCCAAGGGTGATCATGTAACTTCAGCAAACTTATTTTCAACATAGTCCAGTTTTTGTCTATTTTGTCTGCTGTAATGGCTCAAGAACTTATAAAGACTAACTTCAGCTTAAACAGAGCTCCACAGACTTCCTCTATTAGAGAAAGTCACTTCAAATCAGCTTCTAATCAACTCTTCACTACACTAACCTTTGTGGGTGACTTCAAGATGCTTGTTCTGTTCTGGACATCGCAGAACGGCCTGGGTTGAAAAGGACCACAAAGATCATCTAGTTTCAACCCTCCTGCCAGGCTGCCCAGAGCCACATCCAGCCTGGCCTTGAATGCCTCCAGGGATGGGGCATCCACAACCTCCTCGGGCAACCTGTTCCAGTGCGTCACCACCCTCTGGGTGAAAAACTTCCTCCTGCATTCTGAATAAAGGATGACCACTTTCTAAGCAAACGAAGTCTGTAAGAATGATTGTTAATGTCTGGGGACTCCAGCAGAAACCCAGCATCATTTAATTCTTTACAACAGAAAAGTTAAATTTTTAGTTTATTCCCAAAGCATCTTTCAAGAGTCCAATACATCTCCAGAAGGATTAAGAGATTCAGTTTGATGTATTCAGGCAAACCTCAGTTCCAGAGCATTCATGAGCTGCTTTCACAGATTTTCAGCAGCAGCTGTTACGTCAGCACAGGAACTAATGAACGCATGTGGAATATTGCTCCAATTCTCACTTCTGGCACAGCACTGAGGCACAGCTGATTGCTATCTGTACAAATTGCCACATGTCATCAACTGGTCAACTACACCAGTGTTTGAGGAATTTTTGAAGGTGAAGATACTGGCATAAAGCTCTGGCTTGTCAGACAACACTAACGTTCGCTTCAGAAAGACGCGGTCTGAAGTCAAGCAAGAAAAGGAAGTTTTTATTTGCAGTCATACCCAAGAATGCTGGATAGGACTCACGTCAGATAGGCCAGCGATAAAAGGCAGAATCAATTAGCTGGGAAGTTCAGCATTTAGGTGGAAGACTGTTACTAATATGTTGGAGGTTGTTACTAACATGCACCATGAGATGCAATGTAACAGTGAGGAAACTGATTGATCGTTGAGTTGTTCTGTAAGTGCAATTCCAAATCACCACAACTATCATCAGAAGCAATACAATGAAGACCTGATATGCTCTTTCCAACAGGGCTTGTTAGCTTTCACTTAGCAGCAGCAAGGATGCAAGCTGGCTTCACGCTTCTAGACAGTGCTCTAACAGCAGGTATTTAGTTCCACTGAAACAAAACATCCCCGCAACCTGCTCCGATTGGCTGCTGTGCCTGACTGGACTCCAAATGACCTCTTGCTGAACCTCTTGATGCATCCAAGCCACAGGTCACAGTGCTCCCAATGCAGAGATACAAAGCTGAGACACAGAGATGGGTCAACTCCTGGAACACCCAGAGCCTGCTGCTGTTATCTGATGGGCTCTGCACGGAAATGCTGAAACTACTCTTAGCCCTGAGATGGCCCTTACACCTTTAGCTCCGGCATGCTGAAGCTCAACTAAATCCAAGTTAAAGGCTCTGCTCAAACTGAAAGGAAGACAATCACAAGCAGCAAACATCCTTACATTCCTGCCATAGCTTGCCCACAAAAGCAAGTATACATACAAAAGAATTTTGTTTTACTAAATGAGCAAAACTTGATGCTCAAGTCAACCTGATAGCTGCAAAGTCCTTTCTATTTAACAGTGCCCACTGAGGTTACCAAAACACACAGCAGATATGGAACAGGAAAACACCCCCACAAGATGAGATCAGTAATTTGGAGTTCTGTGGAGTTCCATTCCTCTCTAAGAAGAGACTCCTGTGGTCACAATCCCTCTCTAAAGCACACCTCATGTCGCACAGCAAGTGCTTCCATCACACAAGTGACTCCAGCAGAGGACAAGAGGGGAAAAAAAAAAAAACACAATAAAAAACAACCACACATTTTCTGCCTCAGATTTCTGTCTTCGTACCTCCAACACCTAGCTTATATTTACCACTACCACTGTTAGGAGTACAGAGAAATAGCTTCTACAAATGATTGAGTGCGAAAAAAATGCTGATTTAAATTGAGAATTCATCAAGTAACTGCTAGGACACAATATACACAATAGTGTCCAAACACATCCAATGATTTTCTTTAAGAAATACTACAGGTATTCTCTTGCACACGCAAAGGAGGAATTATATATACAGATCACATTAACAGATTTTGACCTCTTCCGTGAAAATACTTCAAGGAAGTCTTTGAACAGTGCTACAGTCCTGAATATTTTCATGAAATCTGATAATCTCAGTAGCAGAGAACACTCATTCCCATTATAAAATGCAAGAATTCACCTTGCACGTGATGTGTAAAGCCTCCATGAGCAGTTTCTAATTTACAAAACTATCATCCAATATTTTTCCTTACACAATTTACCCAAGCATTCGAAATCCAAACATGCAAGTTTAACAACATCAGGGTTATGAGCAGCACCTATACATCCCAAAAGTAAAACTCTGAAACAACTGCTCCACATTTCATTCGTTTGCACAAATGTTTTGAGAGCATAACTGAAGCCACAGTCAAACAAGTGCTTCAGTGGCATTGCTGCTGGCAGAAACTCATCACACACAGATTTGTAAGGTGATGCCAATAAATACCTCCAGCCTTTTTTTCTATTGGTACATCAATACAGTTAACCCTCCAGAGGGTGATGATGCACTGGAACAGGTTGCCCAAGGAGGTTGTGGATGCCCCATCCCTGCAGGCATTCAAGGCCAGGCTGGATGTGGCTCTGGGCAGCCTGGTCTGGTGGTTGGCAACCCTGCACATAGCAGGGGGGTTGAAACTAGATGGTCACTGTGGTCTTTTTCAACCCAGGCCATTCTATAGTCCTATGAATAGTCATTTTGAGACCTCCACTTGTGTTAAATTCAGCTTACACGGGCTAATGTAATTAGCAGTAGCAGCTGTGAGGGAAGGTTTCTCCAACGAGATTATTCTTTGTCATTTTCTGTGTGAGTTCTGAAGTGGTTCTTTGAAAACAGAAGAACCAGCAGAGTAGCTTTGTAATGACATAAAGACAACACTTGGGATAATCAGATTAAAAACAAGCAAGTGGACAATATTCTAAAATGGAATACACCAAACACTTTATTGTTTACTATTCTATTTCCATGTGAGCATCACAGAAGACCCTCACGCTGCTTCACCTTTGCTTTTACGCAGTACAGAAGGATTCTTGCTTAGCAAGTGTTACTGCTGTGGGAAGAGACTCAAACAGAGAGCCTTCACTCACGCTCTAATATCTCTTGATGCTGTAAAGCCAGTGACAGTACCCAGCAATACCCACTGCACCAAGTACCTCGGGAATGCCATCGCAACCTGGACAGCTCCAAGCGGGAACAGCCCTACCTGCAAAGAGCAGCCCTAAAACAAGCAGGCAGACAAAAATGCAAACAAGCAAGCAAACGCGGAGCTCAAAAATAATTAAATAAATAAATAAATCCCAAAAGCAGAGCAGCTGTCAATTCCCCCGCACCTCAAAGGTCTAACTTCTGCATTACCCTCAAGTCCTGCTGTAACAAGGGCAACCCGGGAGCAGATTAAATCAGCGAACAGCACAGCTGCTCTACACGGAGCACACCCGGGCTAACTACAGCGAAGCCTCGCCATCCGACCGAAGGACCACCGCTATCCCCACTCGCTCTCACGCACCCACGTGCCGCACCCGCAGGCCCCCGGCCGTCGCTCCCCGTCACTCCCGGGGAACTGTTCAAACGCTGTATTTTCCCGGATAAACCCACCCCTCAAAGGCTCGCTCCTACCACGCTGATTACACACAAGCAAAACGTCGCTCGTGGACACGGATACCCGCGCCGCGTGCCGTCTGACCGCTTCCCGCCGAGTCAGCCCGCCCGTTTCCTCGCTCCGGGTCTCGTTTCAGCCCGCGCCTTCCCCCGCCCGCGGAGGGCCGCGCTCCAGCACCCCGGCAGACGCAGCCGGGCCTTCGCCGGGACACGGCGGCCGCGGCCTGCCCGCTCCCTCGTCCCGCCCAGCCGGACCGCTCCCCCGCGGTCGGTCGGCCAGCAGCGGCCGGGATCGGGGTGCGGAGGGGGAAGCGAGAGGCATCGCTCGACTCACCACGACGTGTGCGCCGGGCAGCTTGAGCGGCTTGGGGCTGATGAGCGGCGACACCATGTAGAGGAGAAGGACGACGGCCACGATGAAGGCGGCCGCCAGGAGCAGCATGGCTCGGGCCGGGCTTGCCGCCGGGGAGGGGGGCGGCGGGCGGTGACGCGGCCCCCGGGGCTGCGGGAAGCGCCGAGCGCGGCGCGGCCCGGCGCGGCCAGCGGGAGTACAGCCGGTACCCGCCTGCGCCGCGGCGCCACGGGGCCAGGGACGAGGAGGAGGGAGGAGGAGAACGCGGCCGCCACTCCGCGCCCTGATTGGCCGGTGGGCGGGGCGGGCGCGGCCTCGCACGAGGGGATTGGCCGGTGAGCCAGGGGAAGGAGCTCGCGGATTGGCCGAGGGGCGGGACGGTGCTCGGAGATTGGAGCCGCGGGCTGTTTGCGGGGTCACCGTTGGAGGCAAAGGGCGGCGGAGAAGAGAGAGTTCCTACGGAGAAGACGGGGTGCGAGAGGGCGCCCCCTACGGTCCCCGCCTAGGGCGGGTGAGGCGAGGCCTGAGGTAGGCCCCGCCCCTTCTCGTCACGTGGGGCTTCCCGCCGAAAGGAGGGGGCGTGGCTCCGTGAGGGGAGGGCAGGCGGCTGCGGGCGGCGTTCGCAGAATCGTAGAATCACAGAATGGCCAGGGTTGGAAGGGACCTCAGGGATCGCGAATCTCCAACCCCCTTGCCACACGCAGGGCCACCAACCTCCCATTTAATACCAGACCAGGCTGCCCACGGCCCCATCCAACCTGGCCTTGAACACCTCTATGGACGGGGCATCCACAATCTCTGGGTTCCAGCACCTCACCACTCTCATAGTAACGAAATAAAGGGCGTTCACGCCCTGAAACCTGAGGGCAGCTCTTCATGGGGAAAAAAAAAAAAAAAAGTGTAAAAGCAGGGTTTCAAAGCATAATAATAAATTTAAAAAAAAAACACCTCTTGGAGCTCAACTAAAATGATCCCATGCCTTTGTCTTAGTACGTCTGCTTACGTTCAATATTTCCTTCGCTCTTTATGACTGGAAGGAACTCTCTGAAATGATTTATGTTGCAAACGCTGTGCAGCCTCTGACTTGTAGAGAGGAGTTTGCAGCGTATGCAGCGTTATGGCCTTGGAGAGATTAGGATCAGACAAAAGCGCTGGGCAAGAGGGCGTGCAGAAGGGTGTGAAGATAATGCAGGAGATGAGATTGGAGCAAGGAGTAGGCGGAAATGGGAGCATGGCTGCTGGCAGGGATTAGGCAGTCGTCAAGGGGAGAGCAAAGAATCTGGAACAAAAGAATCCAGGAATTAGTTCCGGAATGGGATTGAGCCAGGATCGGACTTTAGTGACGCTTTGAGTGTGGTGCTGTGGGGTGAAGGTGTGAGGAAATGAGAAGAAGGTGTGCGTGCTGAGGTAACAGCTGCCACAGCGCAAATGGGGAGAGAGCTGACAAGTGGTGTGTCCGAGGAAAGGCAGTGTGGAATCATAGACATCCTTAAGGTTGGAAGAGGTCACCAAGTCCAACCAGCAGATGTTGGTGTAGGATGTGGAGTAAAAACATGGCAAGCAGAGATACTGACTTCATTCTGTACATACAGGGCGGTGTATGTGTTATCTTTTGTAGAATATTAATTAAACACAAAAGAGGAGATTGATAATGTAATAGAGCCTATTTATAGATATCTACTACAGAATATGGCAAGACTTGAAAAGCACAAATGTCAGCAGCATGGAGATAAAGCAGACGGAGATAAATCTGTCTTTCACAATGCAGTATCGCTCTCAGAATCAACATGAGGCAAGGGTATGGATGAAAACAATCATCTGCAGCTAATGTCTAGTGAAATGAACGTTAAACATGTTGGTAGGGGGCCTTTAAAAACCTCAGATGCATGATACGCTCCTGATTGGTCACAGTTACAATCACATATCACTAAACGTTTGAAAAGCCCTTGCAGATTAATGAGGAATCCCCTCGCTAAATTTTATGGAGAAATCCATACTGTTTTTTCCTTTTGGCTAAGTGGCCACTTTACAACCTTGTGATTGACAATCCAGGTAGCGTCTGCTCTGGTTTTGTTCCTGGGGCAGTGAAGTGTCACGAATTTGTCTTTGAGAAAAAACATTCAAAAGTGAAGACCCTGCAAACTGATTATAACTCACCAAAGTATTGCCACAGCGGTAGGTTTTTGATTCCTTTAAAGTATGCCAGTAGGCACTGAAGTTTGCCCTCCTGAGCTGTCTGCTGTTTGGTTTGTATTTGTCTCATGTGATCTCATTCACTAAGGAAGTGCATTCCTGACACACGGGAATGGTTTGCTATGAAACTATTTTCTCGGTGACTGTGGAACTGGAAATTGAACACTAAAAAAAATGTTGAAGCTCTCCAGTCCAAACTTTGTTGTACATAAAGCAGTATTTAATTAATCTGACCTTGATAAACAACACAAAAAAGTGTAATTTTGAAGCACAAACTGACCAAGGTACGTACGTCCGTTGGGGATGGGTAAGAAAACAGAAAGGTTAAAACATGCTAATTGCTTTGCTAATTAATCCTTAGAAGAAGCGTCAACACAACAGTGATGTGCTTAGAGAAGAAAATCAAATACAAGTAGATTAAAGTGTCCAAACTATAGGACCAGCTGTGGTTTTCTGCTTCCTCAATTGTTCATTTAAATCTTTCAACAGACGTTTGCAATAACAATATTGTGGGTTGAGATAACTCTGTGTGAACAAAGCACGGAACCAAATTATGAAAGTAGTCATTTAAACACGGAAACAAATGTATGAATTGGTAATACTGCAATACAAGTGACTGATATTAGACGTGTCCTTTTGATCTTCTTGAAAAATAATTGCTCCCAAAGCATACAAGGTACACGCAAAAGAGATACAGGCTGTTTTAAGATGCCATTAAGAGAAGGCATAAAGCTTTAGCGGAGCAGATAGTGAGGCTGCAGCCTGGACAGACCTTCTTATTGCGCTTGAGTGCTCATCTGCTGGATTTTCTGGTTGTGTCATATTCACCTTAGGGAGAGAGGAGGGAAGAGGATGCGTAGGCTATGCAGTGATTAAAAAAAAAAAAAAACTGCAGACTTTTTAATGTGATTTTCATGTGGATGCCCCGTCCCTGGAGGTGTTCAAAGCCAGATTGGATGGGGCCCTGGGCAGTCTGGTCTAGCATTAGGTGGAATGGTTGGTGGCCCTGCGTGTGGCAGGGGGGTTGGAGATTCATGATCCTTGAGGTCCCTTCCAACCCTGGCAATTCTGTGATTCTGTGATTTCCATCCAGTCAGTCCTTCTGTTTTTAGGGAAAGCAGCAGGAAGGAAAAACTTCAGTACCCAAGGAGAACAACTTTTTCCTTCTGTTTTTCTGAATTACTTTCTTCTCCACCCTTTCCCCTTTTATGTAGCAAGCATAGGTGTTCATTTCTTTAGAGGTTTGTTGCAGTAATCATTATAAGATATCAAAGGCACGTGGGCAGTTCTTGGATTCCTGCAAAGCTTCAAGCTTTAGGATAATGGCAGTCTAGGTGAGTGGTTCCTGGTCAACAAGCTGTCTTGATCCCCCGTGTCCCAGATGAGAAGAGCTAGAAGGGACATAAGAACTGAAATCAGAAAGGGATTTACATAACATGCTGGCAGTAGAGGAGAATTGGGAAAGAATTAATGATCTGCACATGGTAGTGACTAAAGCAGTGTGACTGAAATACTTATCACACCCAGCTGCCTGCCTTGCTGTTCTTCACCAAACAAACAAGCAAACCCCTGTAGCTGAACAGCAGCTTCTGTACTAATCCCTCATGCTGGAGAGATCATCAGCTACCCCCATGTATAGCAGGGTGAAACAACTCCCTGAGCACTATGCAGGTCAAAATACCATATGTACTCTGTCTGCTGGAGTGCTATCGCAGTGATCTTCTGGGTATTCCTAGAAGGAGATTTCCTGTACTCCCAAGCTCAGCATATCATCCAGAAAGTGCTCGCCTGCAGCAGGGACGGGTTCCGGCGATCTCTGCAGCTTCCAGCTATGCCGCATGCCCTTATCGCGATGAACTCAGGCTGGGCTGATGGCCCAGGTGCTGGAGGCTGCCAGCACACAGGCAGGAGGTGGTTGTAGCAGCTCAGGTTCAAGTCAAACCAAGGCTGCTTGCTGGGGCAGAGGAGGCTGACTGTGGTGCAAAAGCAGGTAGTATATACATACGTAGCCCAGTTACCAGCTGAGAGTGCCAAGGCTGCTGCAGTAGTTTTGCAGTGAGCACACAGGAAACAAGATCGCTGAAAACACTGCTGAAATCAGATTTTTGTCTTCACACAGGTCAAGTTGATTTAACTGTTTAATGTAATTGCTGTAGCTATTTGGAAAAAAAAGTAATAGTAAAACCACATCCAAAGTGAACCATTCACAACTGGTGGCCCATTATGTGTCACAACTGATTTTGCGCTGAATAAATAACTGTTCACATATTGAACAACATATTTATTGAAATAAAAATAATTTACCTCAAACCAGTGGTAAAAGTAAGTCTTTGCTGTCTAATTTAAATAGATATAAGTTAAAATTAGGGCCAAGAGAATCTTGGATTTCATTTAGTACCCATAGTTCTTTTTATTTGGTACATCTGCTTACACTAACCATCGCTCTGGAGCTGCTTGCTCTTCACTCTCAGATGTCAGAGACTGCTATAGATTTACAATAGCCCTGGGGGTGCTATAGGTTGGAAGAGAAGTCTGAGGCCTCCCTCTCATCAAGTGCCATGGAAAACACCCTCAAGTGAGCATGGCTGAAAGCAGGCAGGATGAGGGAACGGGCTGCCATTTCCTTTGCACTGGATCAATCGGTGCTAAAACTTGTAAATATCTGTTAGAAACAAACAGGGATGTCCACTTCGTCTGTGATGCAAGAGCACCCATTCTAAGTTTTCATCTCCTCTGAAAAGTTGTATTGAAGCTGATGTTTACCATGAAAGTTCATGTTACAGGATAACCTTTGATACTACTGATAACAAGTCCTCCTCTTCGATGAAGTGAAGCTACAGAGTCACAAAGCATGCACTTGTCTGACCCTTTGCCTGCCTGCCTGCCTGCCCAACCAGGTTGCACCATTGCACCGAGCCCCAGGAGATCTGCTGCAGGGCCAGGGAATGGAGCACTTAAGGGAAAATGCTTCATACAAA